CGGGGCGGGCGGAACCTGCGGGCTGGAGTTGGAAAAGGGCATTTTGCTTTCGTCCCTTTTTGACCTTTCGCTTTCCGCTTCCCAATTTCAAGTAACCTTTTGGTTTCTTGTGTGTGCCCTTTGTATAAACCTCTTTTTAGATGTTTAAAATATAGATGTTTAGAAGCATATTTATTTAGTGAAAGGGGAAAGTATTCTGATTTGGGACAGAAGGCTTAGGCCTGGTCTCCTCCATCTTCATTTGGGTGGTGCAATCACTTAAGCAGGCCGCTAACCCTCCGCCACTCTGTTAGGGCCTTGAGATTCCAAGATGCAAGATTTAGGCTAATAGATATGGATGCTGGTTTGCACATACTTTGCTGATGCTTAAGCTTCTTGGAATATATTAAAATAAATAGAATAGTAATAATGGAAGGTACTCGGATTTTGGCATGGGTTTGTGTAAAGCTTTGTCATTTAAAGCTTGTTTTTCCCAATCCCAGTTAACTTTACATTGGATTTCTTTTTTTTTTTCTTTTCTTTTTTTTTTTTTTGTGTTGGAGTCTCACTCCGTCGCCCAGACTGGAGGGCAGTGGCCGCTCCCGGCCACCGCAGCCTCGACCTGCTGGGCTCAGGCCATCCTTCCGCCTCCGCCTTCCGAGTAGCCGGAATTACAGCCATGGGCTACCACGCCCGGCTGATTTTTGATTTATTGTAGAGATGAGGTCTCGCTGCCCAGGCGGGTCTCGAACCCGCGGGCTCAGGCGATCCACTCACTTCAGCCTCCCAAAGGCGCGGGATTACAGGCTGAGCCACCGAGCCTGGCTTGGATTCCATTTTTTAAGTGAATTTTTAAATTAAATAGGTTTAGTTTTTAAAAGTTCGTGGGTATCTGGTATTACTAGGCAATCTTCTGACAAAATAAGTTAAATTTCAATTAAGAAACTGTACAGTAGCTAACAACAACCGCAGGGCTATGAAGCTTTATTGTGTTGCATCCTCAGCAGACCCACACTTTCTCCTATCCCTTATCCCTCCCTCATCCATAACATGCCAGATATCCCTGTGGCAACAAAAGTACGTTTACTGTCATGACCAGTACAAAATGATGAGATGGAAGAATAAAGGAAACATCAGAACATGTAAGAAAGCAGCGTCAACCATTTGTAAAGGTAATGGAGAAAAGCCTAAAGGCCTTGCCAATTTTTTGTATACGAATACAATGCAAATGACATGGCTTGTTTAGTCATTGCTGTTTCTATTTTGGTCCATTTACGATGCTTTCAAGAAATTACTTTGAAGAGTGATGCCAATAGGATTCAGCTTTTGCAATCTTCATTGTAAGCAGCACCATCAATATTTAATGATATTTAACAGATTTCATATTTAATGGAATTGCATAAGGCAAGATTTCATTTGTGTGAAAACATATTTAAATTGACCAAAGAGTCTGTAGTCCCAGCTATTCCAGAGGCTGAGGTGGAAGGATCGCCTGAGCCCAACAAATTACACATCGTTGATGTTTTGTCAAAGACAGGTCTTGTTAAAAAATAACATAAACGCTAGTGTTTTTTTTTTTTTTCCTCTCAGAAAATGTACACCAAGGATATCTGACTCCCTTGAATGAATTGTTAGTTGGCAAATGAGGAAAATACGTTGTCATGGTAGTTTGCAGAAATAGTCCCAATTCTTCCTCCCTCCTTGTATTCATACCCTTATCCATGCCTTATCTCTGACTCGGGTCAGCCTTGTGATATATATTGGCTAATACTATATTAGCAAGTGTGACCCCAAAAAAGTAGCAGGAAAGTGGTGGAAATGGTAAATATACACTAACTAGCTTCACCACATAGAACAAAGTGAGTCATCTTAGCCATTCCAACTGAGGCCACCCTAGGTTGACCATCAATCAGCTGCCTCCCCAGATATGTGCACATGCCCTGCTGAGATCAGTCAAGCCTGTCCAGGTCAGCTGAACTCTGCAGACCCATACACTTTAAAATGTATATTTTGGTTTGCCACACTGAGGTTTTGTTGATTGTTGTGCAGCATTATGGTGGCAATAGATAACTGATATATATGTCCTCCATTGTATGTTATAAATTTTCTGGAATGAGAATTTGTCTGGTAGCTTGAGGAAAAATAGTCTATTTTCCAGTAAGAAGGAAAAATGTCTTGGTATTTTTGAAAACCATACAGTTGTCTGGCATCCCAGGAATGCCTGTCCTTGGGGGGAGAAGAAGAAATGATCAAATAGTATAAGAAGTAGATGAATAAGCAAATAATTTGAGTGAGGAACTGATATTATTTTAGGGATTGCATTTCATTACTGCTTTTCTTCTATATAATTTTCATAAAAGTATTTTTGATAATTTTCATGTAGGTCATTTCATATTTCTATCAAATTTTAAAATACTAGAAATAATGATTTATTCCATATTTTTCTAAAGTCTTATAATCATATAGTACTTTTAAAAAGAGAAAAGGTGAAAACATTTTTATTCTAATTGTTCTTCTCTTGAAATAAGCAGAAGTTTATTATCACTGTGGTTAGGCTCAGGTTAGCAAAAAAAAAAATTTCGGTGTGCTCAGTGTGTCAGTGTTACCCTGAGCAACAAGAATTCAAAGATGATTAAGACATAATCTTTGTCCTTGTGGATCTTAAAGCTTAATGGGGGAGACAAATATAAAAACAGATAATTTCAGTATAATGTGATTTGCACAAAATTCTATGGAAGCACAGAGAATGGTTTGTCACTTGACCTGGATGTACCACAGAGAGCTGAGACTCACAATCAGACCTGATAACTAAGGTAAGGAAATTAGAAAGGATGTTTCAGGGCAGGGGAGACAGAATGAACACAGGCCTCAAAGCGTGAAGCTGGATGGTGTGAGATGGTACGTTTATTATTTACTAAGGAGTAGATAATAAAATGGAATGTGGGAGTAAATGGTGTTGGAGAAACTGATAGAGGCCAGTTCGGGAAGGCTTGTGTCCATTGTAAGGGACATGGACATTATTCTGAAGGCCATGGGGTACGCTGAAGTGATTCAAAACAGGAGTGACATGGTCAGATCTGTGCTTCACGCAGATCTCTCTGGGCACAGGATAGACTAAAGGACACAGAACTAGTTGACTAGCCGAAAGTCAATGCTGTATTCGAGGGAAAGAGAGGATGCAGACCTGGATTAGGACAGTAGTAGAAAGTATAGAGACTCTGGGGCAGATTTTGGTGATAGTAGCAGATAAAACTGGTAAGACTAGTAACTGGTTTGAATTGGGGTGGGGGTAAAGAAAAGAAGGAAGCTAGGATAATGTCGTTTATCCCCTCTTTGGGTGATGTGGGAAGAGCTGCTGCTGGCTGTTCACAGCTGCTCCATCCCTGGGCATTCCCTTGGCTTCAGGAAACTGGCTTCACTCAGCTATGCTTCTTCAGGAGTGGCCTGTGACCAGTGAATGGCTGAAGAGGGGACACAAGGGCTCAGCCCTCTTGCTTCAATTTGGGAAAACTCTGGTGGGCCATCCCTGCTCCAGAAATCCCAGCAGGACCTGCTGAGGCCCCAATTGCAACCACACGTGAGTTAGCG